TATTGATACTGAGAATGATTAAATTTTTTATAATGAAATGCTTGTACTTTTTGTATCAACCTCAATATTTTAGTGTAAATAAGTTTTACCAATATGTTGAGCTAACTGTGTTTTGTCTAAAGAGTGTGGATTTCTAATTCAAATTTAAAATATAAAAGCACTATTTATGAACGTAATCGATTGATTTAAGTAAAACGTGTAATACGTGAAACACGACTTTTTATCAAACTGATAATGTCATGAATATAAAATTATGTTGGTTTCTGACGTCAAATTGGTATTTCATTCTCGAAATTAACAGGTGTCTAATGATGTTCCTTATACCATAACGAGTTAGATTCTTAAGTTTTTGTTCAACATGTCTGTTGAATTGTTTAAAACAATCCCAATGTTAGTAACACTAAATTTACTGGCTACGTGTATATTTGGTTGCTGTGGTGCTGTTATTGTTTTTGAGGATGTACCATCAGGTGGCGAAATTAGGCTTGGTAAGGATCACTCACTGTCGTGTGTTGTTAGTGGAATAAGATACGAAAGTCTGACTTGGTTTAAAGATGGTACTCAAATACAAATAGAAGATGTAGACGAAAAAAGAATTTCCATAGCAAAAAGCGAACTATCTATCGGAAATTTATCTACATTGGTTATAAACAATGTAATGCAAAATGATGCTGGGCTATATCAATGCGTCGTTATAACACCGATGTCTGAGTCGGTGTTGAGTAGTTCTCCTGAAGCTGAATTGATTATTCTTTCGCTACCCGCACCAGAATATCCACTTTGTTCTGAGCCTGATAATGCTATTATTGCAGGATCAACGGTAGAATTAACATGTGTTTCTGAAAGGGTGTATCCCCAAGTGAGTTTACAATTTACTCGCAACTCTGAGCCCGTGAATACAAGAAAAATGTTAACAGAAACAGGTAACCTGGTAACACTTCCTTTTACATTAAAAACCAGCAAAGATAACAATGGTGACATTTATGAATGCCACCAATATTCATCTCTGGATTCAAATTATCAAAAGTTATGTACGATGAAACCTTTAAACATACAATACAAACCTGAGATAAAAATACAGCATACTAATCCAGTGCTACCTGGACGAGAGACAATTCTCTTTTGTCAGACATTTGCTAACCCGCCTGTTTCATATTATCAGTGGACATCAGTACCTCAATTAAGAGCAGAAAATATCATCGTTGATAGAACTGGACAAGTACTAAAGTTATTACGACCTTCATTATCACATAGTGGAACAAATATAACATGTATTGCTACAAATGAAATTGGAAAAGTATCGTCATCTATAGAACTACAAGTTTCTCACTCTATAGGTAATTCAGAAACTAATAACAATCCACACGAATCAACAAGTAATCAAAAATCAGAAACGTCAGCAAAAAATATTGGTTTATCATTTGACGTTATAATCATTATCGTTGCTGGAGTTGTTATTATTGTTATACTTGTTGTTCTGGTTCCCGTCTACCATTACTGTTTGTGTCGTAACAATACTACGACCGTTAATGCGTCAGGAGAAGAATTAACTCAACCAGAAGTGTATTATGAATCTAAAGATGGAGTAATTTTAAGGCATACGATACAAGATCGTTCATTGCCTCGTGTACCTACCACAGAAGTGTATGGTCATTGGAGACATTCAACGGCTTCACAAGTTCCCAATGATCTTGAATCCCATAGTTATACATATATTGATACTGAGAATGATTAAATTTTTTATAATGAGATGCTTGTACTTTTTATATCAACCTCAATATTTTAGTGTAAATAAGTTTTACCAATATGTTGAGCTAACTGTGTTTTGTCTAAAGAGTGTGGATTTCTAATTCAAATTAAAATATAAAAGCACTATTTATGAACGTAATCGATTGATTTAAGTAAAACGTGTAATACGTGGAACACGACTTTTTATTAAACTGATAATATCATGAATATAAAATTATGTTGGTTTCTGACGTCAAATTGGTATTTCATTCTCGAATTTAACTGGTGTCTAGTGATGTTGCTTATACCATAACGAGTTATACTCTTAAGTTTGTGTTCAACATGTCGGTTGAATTGTTTAAAACAATTCCAATGTTAGTAACACTTAATTTAATGGCTACGTGTATATTTGGTTGCTGTGGTGCTGTTATTGTTTTTGAGGATGTACCATCAGGTGGCGAAATTAGGCTTGGTAAGGATCACTCACTGTCGTGTGTTGTTAGTGGGATAATATACGAAAGTCTGACTTGGTTTAAAGATGGTACTGAAATACAAATAGAAGATGTAGACGACAGAAGAATTTCTATAGCAAAAAGCGAACTATCTAACGGAAATTTATCTACACTAGTTATAGACAATGTAATGCAAAGAGATGCTGGGCTCTATCAATGCGTCGTTATATCTCCGACGTCTGGGTCGGTGTTGAGTATTTCTACAAAAGCTGAATTAACTGTCCTTTCTCTACCAGCATCAGAATATCCTCTTTGTTCAGAGTCTGATAATGCTATTATTGCAGGATCAACGGTAGAATTAAAATGTGTTTCTGAAAGAGTTTATCCCCAAGTGAGTTTACAATTTACTCGCAACTCTAAACCCGTGGATACGAGGACAATTTCCAAAGAAACAGGAAACTTAGTAACACTTCTGTTTACGTTAACAACCAGCAAAGATAACAATGGTGACATTTACGAATGTCACCAATATTCATCGTTGGATTCAAATTATCAAAAATCATGTACGATGAAACCTTTAAACATACAATACAAACCTGAGATAAAAATACAGCATACTACTCCAGTATTATCTGGACGAGAGACAATTATATTTTGCCAGACATTTGCTAACCCTCCTGTTTCACATTATCAGTGGACATCAGTGCCTCAATTAAAAGCTGAAAATATCATTGTTGATGAAACTGGTCAAATACTTAAACTATTACGACCTTCATTAAAACATAGTGGAACAAATATAACGTGCATTGCTACTAATGGAATCGGACAAGTATCATCGTCTATAGAATTACAAGTTTATCAATCAATGAGCAATTCTGAAAATAATAATAATCCTTTCGAATCAACAAGTAATACTTTATATTCTGAAACGTCAAAGAAAAATATTCGTTTATCACTAGATGTAATTATCATCATCGCTGCTGGTGTTGTTATTATTGTTGTACTTGTTGTTCTAGTTCCCGTTTACCATTACTGTTTGTGTCGTAACAATAACATAACCACAGTTGATTCTTCCGGAAAAGAAGTAACTCAACCTGAAGTGTATTATGAGGCTAGGGAGGGAGTTATTTTAAGACACACAATACAAGATCGTTCGCTGCCTCGTGTACCTACTACAGAAGTGTATGGTCATTGGAGACATTCAACGGCTTCACAAGTTCCCAATGATCTTGAGTCACATAGTTACACTTATATTGATACCGAAAACGACTAAGCAATCATTATTTAAAGCAGCTATCTCTGTAATAAACATTCATTCATTGATAACTACATAGATCATAATCTTGAAGTAACTAAAGCAAATGTAACCTGAGAGAGCAGCTAGCTCAGTCGGCTAATCTGGTGGTAGCCACTGTGTGTGCGCTGAACCGTGGAGATCTCTAGATCCCCGGTTCAATTCCCATCGCTGCCTCTCCTTGTGTTTCAGCTAGAGGGCTGAAATACAAGTTACAATAGCGCACCGTCTTTCGGATGAGACGTTTAAGCCGATGGCCCATGTGCACGTTAAAGAACGCAGTACACTCTTTGGAAAAGAGTAGGGGATTGTCTCCCGGTGTACTGCCCAATCACCACCAAAAGGACCCCACTGGAAATAAGTCTCCTTCTATACTTTCGTGGGCTATCCTTGGTGTTTACACCGAGTAAATCCAATCCAATCCAACATTTAGTTTAGTAACATTCGTAATTGGTAGTATTTCTTGAATTATTTTTTTATAATAATCACGAAAAATAAATAAATAAATAGTGATAAATAATAATAAATTATATAGTACGTTTTAATTATAAAAACTCAATATATTAAATTAACTTTTTGAGTAGTGAATTCTCTCCCCTCTCACTTCCTCTATTAATGCTAAATTTGGATAAAACAGACTTATACGATGGTTAATAATACTAAGTTCAACTGTTTTTCGTGTTAGTTACTTTTGAAAGTTGTTTTCGTACCACATTTGATGCCATCGTATGTAGCACGATTTTTTGGAATGTTTAAAAAAAATCGTGCCGTGAAAAAAAGCTTGGTCTACCGCAGCAGCATAGTGTCGAAACGTTTTCGTCGTTTGTCGTGACGGCGTCGTGTTCATTCGTATCAATTCCTAGTGGCCACAACACTTAGGTCGTGCATCGTATTTGTAAAATCATAGTGATGCTGTAATACAATCTTAGTAATTCGTAGTACGTCGTTACAAATCTTAACGTTGTCGTAACTCTATCGTTATAATTCGTATCAATGTCTTCACATTACCGCATTATTGTCGTATACATCTTGACGGCGTCCTGATAGCGTTTAAAACGTAAAATTCGATTGAACTTGAACTATTTGAGTACGAATGGCCACGGCAGATTAGAACTTTTAAACACCGTGCTTTATTGCAGCGAAAATCGTGAATGAGTGTGAGTGTCTCTTCGTGTCTGAGCTATCCGGTAAACCCGTACTAGCTATTCTCGTCTGTCAACAAGGGGTAAACCGGAGTAACCCTTACTCGTCTCGAAAGATGTACTGGGTTCTTTGAAGTGCACATGAGCGAAATTGTGTACACTGGGCCTAGGTTTATATTCCTTCTCCGAGATTTGTTCCACCACAGGAACCACCAGAGCCGATATTATGACTTTACGTTGCGGCCCCTGTTGCTGGGAGATTCGATTCAACATAACAGCTGTATTCAGTTTTTCATAACTTGGATCTTTAGACGTTGTATGGCACAACGGGAAGAATACAACAAACTAACTTGAATAGATATAATATAATTTATTTCCAGTGAAAAATGCTTATTGTAAACTATAAAAACAATTGGCTATTGATAAAATCAAACAAGATAAAATACTACAAAATAAAGTTGATGTAATAATCCGAATGAGAACAACGTGAGAAGTGTATAGCAATAGGAATACTGTGTTATGTTGGGGTAGGACTCCTTACTATATTTGGGATGATTCAAAAGATGAGGTAACCCTTGACCAATAAGAATTAAGGATGATTATATGATGTACCGGTAATGGTTTTAGTTAATAAAAGTGGGATGATAAGTTAGCCATGGTACATTCCTGACTTATTTGTCATCTAAGTTCCTGGTACCATAAGGAAACAGGTTGCTGCCCTTATTTGATCTTTACCCTGAATATAGTAATAATATACATAGAGTAAGGTTTACAAATGAAATATAAAAGATTATACAAATTCAATATTGCGGTTTAACAAATAGTAGAGACGCTACAAATCCTTTAACTAACGGGTAGTAAGTAAAAAAAAATAATAAAAATCACTTAAAGGTTGTAGAAAATTCAAATAAAGAAACACAGATCCATGTGGGTATATTCGTTTCCTAAGCTGATTCATTGTATCACATAATAGGCCTACACTTTCTTTTGTACTAAGAATTATCTTTTTTTTAAATGATATCACTACTTATAATTCAGGGGTGGCGCCAGAGGGGGGGCGGGGGCCAGAGCCCCCCCCCCCCCGTCGGGGAGAAAAAGCACAATTCGTCGGGGAGAAAAAAAATTACATGTATTTTCTACATATTAGTAGACTCGATTAAATAAGCCTTTGAAACCCCTAAATGGTCAAGATTTTCGGGGGCTTCGTCCCCAGGACCACATTCGAAACCTTTTAATCGAAGCTCGACCACGCCCACTTTGGTTTCGTCGGGGAAATCTGACCCTTCGTCGGAGCATCGACCCCCCCCCCCCTCATCGGGACCTCGGCACCCCCGTTAATGTCTGTCTCTTATACACATCTAGATGTGTATAAGAGACAGGACTTATATTGACCACTTTTTCTCAATAAGCACATTACTTATTAGAGTCTAATGGAAATTCACGTTTACTCTTTCCTCATCAAACTCGTTTCTTTTTAAAAACATCTGTGTTGTGGTCTTTGACTAAATACGGTCACTAACTTTTTGATAAAAAATAACACCTGCGTATATATAAAATGTATTGTGATTGTGCTATCAAACAACTTTAGTTTTCATAGTTTATTTTGTATAAAGACAGGCACTGCAATAGGCTTACTATCCGTTAATACAGTTATATGTTTATAATTATACATTATTGGGTTTATTTTGAACACCTAGACATTAGCAAGTAAAGACATTCTATAAGGTGCTTATGGAAAGTATAGAAGTGTACTATTTCTCTCCGGAACCTTTTTCGAAAGTTACGCAAATTGATATGCGAAAAACTTTTAAAAAAAAAAGAATATCTTTCAAATTATGCAGATATAATTTAAATCACATGTTTTATACCGTTCATTTGACAACATTTTAAATTAAGAGAAACATAATCTGATACGAGATACACTTTTTGCATGTTGTTTATTTATATATTTATTAAAAAATGTTATTTTATATATATTACATTCTCTTTTGTTAAGGGATCATTTTGAGACAAGTTTTTAACTTCTAATCTGATTCCTAAATCGTAATTTATAGCTATTAATTGTTTACTTTCACATATTTCGATTTGAATAAATGTTACTGAATGAATGAATGAATGAATGAAGATAATCCAAATGCCAAAAATGAACATTCAGAAACAATGCGGTGGTTTAAAATTATAGCGCTGTTCGATGCATATACAAAGAGAGTAAAATCAGTTTACTCTATTGGATTCGAATTTTCAACGAAACACAGGTCCGATTGGAGACCAGACTGCATGTATACTCAATAACA